TTGCAGAAGGGCGAAGATGCAGGGAGTTCCGTCTGACTTAAACCAATTAACACTCACATCTTGCTGCTACTACTGCTGCTGCTGCTACTGCTGCTGCTGTTGTTGTTGTTGTTGTTGTTGTTGCTGTGGTTGTTGTGGTTGTTGTTGTGGTTGTTGTTGTGGTGATTGTTGTTGGTGTTGGGGTTGTTCCTGGGAGGAAAACGAAGACAGATGTCGCCATTGAGGACGAAGTGAGTGGATCGAACAGCGCGAGCAACGGAAGCTGCCCTGTTTCAATGATTCATGGAAAGAATGATTGCTTTCGATATTCGCTCGTTAAGTACAGGGAGGTGGTGACCCAGCACACACATCAGAAGGCGCATTCTGCAGGGACTGTACAGCCTCGATGTAGGGAAGTCGTCGTCCTCTGGAAGCACGTCCAGGAAAGTAGGCCCCGAGGCTTCAGGTTTAAGAGAGATCTACAGCCAGAAAACAGAAATGAGCAGGTATGGTGGAAGGGACTGCCTGGCTTCAAAGGTTGCCTCTTTTCTCTGACCAGCTATTTTAGGTGAGCAGCAACCGGAGGACACAGAAGCGCCCTAATATCGGAGTCACCCACGAGCTCCTCAGGGGCAACTCCCCTGCCTTGGAAACATTCTGGTCTAGTATACCAGGCAAGTCTTTGTTAAGGGTTTGCTCTTATTGTTCTTGTCCCATCCCTTTTTAGTGTCCGGAGCCACTGGCTTCGGGACTTCCGCGTGCATTTGGAAGCCGGATGTGTATGAAGATTTTCCACAAGATTGTGCGTAGTCTAGGTTTTACTTTTTTTTTTTTTAAAGTTCTGATTGTTCCAAGAGTCCTGGGGGGGGGGGGGGGGTACCATTATCATTACGAATGAATGGGTCTGAAATACGCCTAGGGCGATGAAGTGTCTCCGGTCTCTGGTGTGGTGTATCTGGAGAAATCTCCGGGGGGCCCATATGCCTAAGCAAGTGGGGCCTACTTGTCATATGATTGTACCTATTGGATATAGATAAACCCTGACGCTTTTGATCGCCGTTTCAGATCTTTCAATCATCCAACTTCACACCTTAACACGTAAATTTGACGAAACAAGTCAGGACGTCAAATTCGATAACATATTCGTTTATTATCTACGGCAGGTTTACTTCTCAAGGTATTTTCCTTTTCCGTATTTCATTCAGTCGATGTTTTCATTGCCTAACCGCTGAACCTTTAGTACCTTCTTGACATCCCTAATGACGGTACCGATTCAGCCGGCTATGACGTCGGGCTCCAAGTCTCATACCACTATACCGCCATATGTAGCGACTTGGGGTTCTCTACCATGGGAGCTGCGGCAGATGATACTTCAAACTATCGCACGACAAACTTCTGGTTGGGGCGCCTGCGCTTCCGTTTGTAAGGAGTGGCAGGCTATACTAGAGAAGGAAAGCTTCCGCCAGCTGAAGTTACAAGTTTCCTGTTTAGCTGATATAGAGGCTATAATTAGTATAAAACAAGCACAGCTTGTTAGACATATCTGGCTAAATGTCGAGCTAAAGCCATATACATGTCGAAGTTGTCAGACTACTGAAAGTTATTCATGGGCTTGTGGAAATAACCACGTGGCTAGACGAGCAATTACGAAGCTTTTCTCGATCTTGTCTCGATGGCCAGTGGTAGAGGGAGCCGAGCTGACACTGGAGTTGAGCATCCAGTCTCCTAGTGATAAGGAGCATTGCTTTAAGAACCTCTATTTTGGAGGTGTTGGCGAGGATGAGGATTTGAAATTCGACCGGTCTGGTCATCGATTACCCCACCTCGACTCAAAGCATTCATTTCACGACTTTCAACATGGTTGGATGAATGGACGTCAGGTCGATGCCCCCAATGGAAAGGCTTTATTACGAATATTTGAGCCTCTCTATTTCAAATTCAAGGAAGGCCTCCCTCAAGTCAAAGCGGTAACACGATTTATACTTCGCCGACAATGTCGACGACAGATTGAACCTCAAGTGCTAGGGTCTCTATTCGATAAACTTCCTCGATTACAATCATTAATCTATGAGCCATGGCAAAGTTGGGATAAGATAGCACAAGGTTTTCTTTGGGATTCCGGTAAGATATAGTATTTAACTCTATATTATACCTACTAACGACTTGCGCTACAGAATACCTAAAGCTTATTGAATCCCATTTACCAAAAGCACTGAAGAAAATATCAGTGTTTGAAGAGACCAACGAAGAATATATTACCTCGTTTCAACCTACCTTACCAACCACCGCACCTGATATAATCCGGGTCACATCACCTACGGTCAGTGCTGCTTTTGCCCAAAGGAGTCTTAGTCTCGAGCAGCTCTCCGTTACATTTATGATTGAAGCTTCGGACTTCTTCCGGTCATGTCAACAAGGTTGGGTTTGGAGCCACATGAGATTCCTAACTCTCACATCAAGGATACTTACCCAAACAGAGAATCTCAAGATAGAGAATCTCTTAAGAACTGCTGCTATAACTGCACTTTCAATTCCACACCTACATACAATGGTAATATGGAATGGTCGGAAGGGTGAAGCTTTTAAGTTCTTCTACTACGCAAAGTCTAGTTATACTTGTATTGGGTGGCAAGGAACATGGGATTGGAAGCTGGAACCTAGCGTGATACGCAATTGGCAGAGGGTTGCCGATCAAAATACTAGGCATGACCTCAAAGTCATTCCAGAGCCTCTCATTACTACAAACATCGACTCTCATGCTCATGCCATCGAGCTCCTGGACTTACCCTCGGAGGTTGTCCATCCAGTATCTTTATTACAGATGCAAAGAGAAGCTGAATCGAGTTGGTATAAGACTTAGACATAGCTAGGCTTGATACTAGGTGTTATCTCTCATGAGTTAATGAAGTGATTTGACGTTCAACTTTAATGTACTGATTAGGGCGCCTTTCTAAATTCAGTATCTTCTGCCCTCATATTGGGCCGAAAGGGAACTCTTCAAACCCCACTTCCACCCTGCTCACCCTGCTCACCCTCACCCCAGGTGTAAAGTTTGCGGGTTAAAGCAGCCACTTGAAAGTGAGCGGCAGGTAATACGATCGCAATTCAACAATAAAGTGAGGCGCCACTAGCATGGATCAATCCACATTGGCACGATCAGTCGTCGGGCTGAGTGGTGGCACCAGACTAGAAAGGTTTAGCAGTAGTATTAGGTGGCCGTTCTCTTGGTCTCGACACCATGAAGACAACGTTGAGCAAAGTAACTGCATGTGGATACCAGGGAGAGACGCGGAGAAGTACGGAAACATGGGGAAGGCAACAGGGTTGGACGGAAACGATGACCTGCACGTGTGACTTTTGGGGCTGATGAACGCTGAAATTCTCGGAACTTCGAAAGCGGATGTGTGGCTCATGACCGAGGAGCTCCATCGAGTCATAGCGCCGGAAACACGTCTCGCGCTACAGTTGGATTACACTCGATGAGTCGATATTGATTTTGGAGTTTCTGGAATCCCTGGGATGTGTTTCCTTGAATGCGTCATGTCATATTGACCCATTCGTTCAATTTTGTAGAATTCATGTACTCTTGTCACTCGACTTGATTAGTGTTCATCGTCACTCACGCTTCTTGCAGGTCTCAGCATCGTTGAGGTATGGGATTCATCTGATGGCAAAGCCACCCCGAGAAAGGTCAATATCACCTAGTCCTGAAATGGTTCTGCAGGTTATAACGGTTTGTTATCCGATTCATAGCTTTTGTATCAGCAAGAAAGAACAGCCCAGCCAGAATCTGGTGCTGTAGACTCTATGTCAGAACTGCAGGGTCAAGAACACAAGATGTCGATGTGGAGCTGCTGGTTGAAACTGGATTCTGGATTAAGAGGTAAACAGTGTCAACTGATGCTATCAAGTCTTGTGACCAAACGTATAAGCCCCGCCGTGTCGGACCCAAGTCTTCGGCGAGCAAATAATGCCTCAGCCGAAGCCAGGAATCATGTTTGCTGCATTTATTGTGCAAGGTATCATCGGCATGTTTCTTTTCGGAAGCTTATCATGTCAGAATTCCCCAAGTGAGTTGACGCATCCGCACTCGAGAACACCTTGAGAGTCCAGTACTAGGTATGCAGTGTCAATCCGTGCAACTGAGGTACGCTTCCCGATAGATTAGGAGGGTCCACGTCAATTCGTTATAGAGATGATCGTATATCGTCGATGGTCTGATCTATAGGAATGCATTTGTTTGATAGGAGACTTGCCTAACGGTCTAGAACTCATTGCTGAACCGCAATTTTGGACACTACTATAGGTGTCGAGGCTACGAGAGCACCTGGATCTTCAGGCTTATCACTCATCAGTATCCGAACTTCCGTTAGTGAAGCTTTGGCGATGATTCCAATAAATGTGCCAAGACTAAGAGCCAATGAACTTACAAATCTGATCGTTCAGTCTCTCGATATTCTCTCCGATGGTCCATTAGTGGCGTGAAAATGGGACAATCGCCGTTACTTGCGTGGAAACGTCCATACCCGGGAAGCGGGTGCAAGACCTTTCACGGCTTATTGCCGTGGCTCTTGGCTCAAGTCCTGTGTTAGTGAGTGACGGTTAGTGAGTGACGAATTCTCCACCAAGAGGTTCAACAACCAATCGAAATTCAACCATTTCAACCGATGCCATCAAAAATCGATGATCCACCAGACTAACAATCTCAGCGAGACATGGAAATGTGAACAGACTAGCCCAGCCAGATGGCGAACCCAAGGACTTGTTCTCCTTACTAGCGCTTAAATTTCCCCATGCCGTATTCCCCGTGGGGACTGATGCCACTGGCGTCGTCCGATGCAGATGTACAAAGCATTCGGAACCGAGCCCATGGCTCGCTGTAACCTCCTGATGAAATTTGTATAAAGTCTTCAGGGGACGCCTCCCTGTGTCCTGGGGGGCAATTTGAGTCAGACTATCTAGAATCATCTCCTTATTCCTAACACCTTCAACTTGATATTCTCATCTTGTCCTCTTTCACAATGGACGCCAAATCAGCAGAGGCGACAACTATCGTTGCCCACGACCACATCGAGAAACTCGCCATTGCGGACGAAGCCGTCACAAAGGCAACCAAGAACCAAGACCTGACCCCAAAGCAACAATACCAACGTCTTTGGGCGAGCCTCAAGCAAGACAAGCGATATGTCTTCTGGGCACTCTACATCATGTCCCTCGTCTTCGGATGGGGTTACGACTCTGGACTTTCAGGCGCCGCCATTGCCTTCCCTGAGTTCCGCAAAGCTTACGGAGATTACTATCAGGTGGGTGACCAATATGTCATCCCTGCCCTTTGGCAATCTCTGTGGAACGCAGCCAGCACCATTGGCCAGGTCTTCGGAGCCTTCCTCACAGGTCAGTTCGCCGACACTGTTGGCCGCAGAGCGGTTCTCTGGACAGCCGTCATTCTGTCCCTCTCCTCCTCGTTTGCCTTGGTCTTCGCCCCAAGCTTGCCAGTCCTCTTCGTCTCCAAGCTGCTGCTCGGTTTCTCAGTCGGCCTTTCAACCGTCACGCCTCCCCTCTACGTTACCGAAAACGCTCCGCCGGCCCTTCGAAGCTCCCTCAGCTCGTTGACCAACGTCATCATCGTTCTCGGGTTTTTCCTCTCTTCCATCACAGCTTGGGGGTCCTCCAAGATTGAAGGCCAGTGGAGTTACCGCCTAGCGTTCGCCATGACCTTCCTTGTCCCGGCGCTCTTCATGATTATCTTGCCGTGGCTACCCGAGTCCCCGGTATGGTACGCCAAGAAGGGCAGAGACGACGACGCCCGCAAGGCAATCCTGAAGCTCTACGGAGAGAATGTCGATGTCGAGGAGAGACTCAATTTCATCAAGTCTGAGCTCGAGCTTGCGGCAGGAGAGGCGAACATGGCCAAGCAGACAAGCTGGAGAGCGATTTTCTCCAAGGAGCACCGCTTCCGAACTCTGGTTGCTGTTCTTGGGTTGCAGTCCCAGAACTTCTCTGGCGGTTACTTTGCGAGTAAGTATCTCACAACACCGACGTGTTCCAGAAACAGAATGCTAACGAATCGACTCTAGACACATATCAAACCTACTACTTCGAGCTCATCGGCCAGTCCGACCCTTTCGGACTCACTGCAATCTCCTCCACCCTCCAATTCCTCTCGAACTGCGTTGCAGTCACAGTTTCCGACGTCCTCCCCCGCAGAAAGTCCCTCGTTGGCGGCGGAGCATTGCTATGCTGTTGGTCCATCATCATCGGTGGAACATCTCTCGCTGGAACCGCCAATTACTCCGCGAACATGGCTCTTCTCGCCTTCATGATCACATGGTCCATGTTGTATACTGCAACCGTGGGTTGCTTCGGCTGGGCTGTTGCCCAGGAGACTGCCTCGCAAGCCACCAGACCCAAGACCATCGCCTTCAGCTTGGTATGCCAGCAACTTACAGCTCTTTTGCTGTCATCGGTGTTCCCGTTCTTCATCAACCCCGATCAGCTGAACTGGGGCGGCAAGATCATGTTCCTTTTCGTTGGCGCCGAGGTGTTCGTTCTCGGACTTCTTTTTTTCTTCCAGCCTGAGACGAAGAACAGAACCTACCAGGACATTGACCACATGTACGCCCAGGGCATTCCACCAAGGAAGTTTAGCGAGTACGTTGTGGTAGATGGAGTTGCCATCAAGAAGTCCACCTCGTAGGGTATTCGTTACGATAGGCGCAGGAGAGGTCAAGGGTGTAATGTTTGTCTGGGTTTCGAAGACCATATCTACATACAAAGCGAACGGGTCTTCAAGTTCTCAAAATTTAGCCTAAATTTTCCCAAAGGATGGGGAAGAGACACCACGCTAGTAATGCAAGTCCCTTATTTGGGTTAGTTCAAAGATGCCCCCATAACCATGTGCGGAGACTCCGGAGTCTTGCCTTAGATCTGTGGGTCGATTTGGGACTGGAAAAGTCACCCAGTCGATAGTCCACCAGTAGACCTGGTTCAGTAGCAGCTTGATGCAGTGGTCGAGAGCTTTTCTGTTGAAGATTATGCTACCCGTGATGTATTTCTCGAGCATCGGTACAAAGGTCACACTTTGAACCCTAGCCATATCATTTTCACATAGCAAAAGCCATTTCGTCTTGGGATGTGACTCGACAGCTTGTTGCAAGCTAAACCCAAGCTGCCGTGTCTCGCATGTATTGGAGAGGTAAAGTCGGGGGACCAGGTCAGGATCTGGGGTGAGCAACATCAATTTCCCCAGAAAGTGGGCAATTGGCCCGTAGAGTGTACGACGAGGTTGTCTCTGTTTTCAACGTGGCGTTGCTATTCTTCTGTAGCCGTAATACATACTGCGCCAGATAAGCTGAAGAATATCACACTGCTCGCTTGCGGGCGGCACCTCTGAAGACTTGCTGCGCCGCGAAATTACGCAACGCGAGCCACAGCACATGCTGAAAGTTACCGACAAACAGGCGTACGTTCGATGTCCATCGGTGCCTTCGGCTCTTTCACGTCAGCCTGTTGGTGTTCACAGCCTGGTGGTAGCTAAAGGTACTTCGCCTTCGGGCCTGGGGGAGCAGACGAGGCGCTGATTGCTGTACCGTTTGCCTGTAGCCCTGTAGCATTACCATTCATTGCCCCTGATTTCCGTGTAAAAGAGACGGCGGTGAATGCTGTCCACGAGGGCAGAGATGCGGGGTCCCGAGACAGGCGTTGCCGGGAACCTCAGACACTGGAGAGAACTGAGGGGTACTGGGAGGTAAGTATTTGACTAGAGCCGGGCTTCTGACCGCAGCTTCTGACAGATGGTATTGGGTGCACTGGGACCGAGTGCTTCCACTAATTAGTTGTTGTGCCTCTACGTCGTAGTGTTAAGATGCTGGGGAACCGTCCAATGGTTCGGACAGATCGGGGGGTTCTTCTCTGGAAGTGCAGCATGGTACCTCTACTGTGTACGAGTACAGACGGGGGACGAATAAGAAAAGGATCGGTGCGATGGTGGTCAGCGATTGCAGAAGAGCGGTCCTTTGGGTGAGGAACCTGGAAAGTCGGGTGACGTTGCATTGGAGAGTTTTGCTTCTCCAACCCCCCACGTCGCAGCTGCTAAGCTACTGGAAGAGATGGTGCCTCGGTCCCCAATCAAGTGGCTTGAATGAGCGTTGATCATATTTCGAATGTGGTTGCCTTGCAGGTACGTATGCGATAGAGACGCGAGTTTCTCAGCCGGCGGTTGGCCCAGCGGAACAAGGTAAAATGCGGCGAGATCAGGGCGGACAGGGCTGGGTGGGCAGGGCCACGGCGGCGGGCTTCCAGAAGATGTCGTGGAACATGCAGGTGGGCGTGCTGGAGGTGGCATGGCGCGGGGCACAACGATAACGCACCAACGCTGCTGTGTGCATCTGTTGGTGAGGTATCTTGGGAATGGAAGTCAAGTACTTAGGTATTGACAGACCGACTAAGGCAGCGACCGACCTGGCGTTATGATTCTTGACTGTGCGGCTGGCCAGTCACATCGTGTGATGTCTGACAGGAGGAATGGCGGGGAAAGCTAGGTCAGACCTGACTGCAAGCCTACAAGGTAGGTAGTCCATCACTCAAGATGGAGGCTCGGGGTTTGACTTGCGGACTGGCAGGATATGATGTGACAGGCTGTACCTGTAGGTCCTGACCAAAGTCCACGTCGGAGCAACGGTGGCCGAGAGAGCCGAGCGGGTGGTGCCGGGCCCAAATGCTGTGGCGCTTGCCGACTGAGAAATAAGTTCCTAGGCAGGAAGATGTCATTGGAGGCAGGTTGGCTCTAGAGGGGTTCTTTCCGAGATCATGGCGCGCTTTCTTCAGCAACCGTCCAATCAAAGAAAGAGTGACAAGAAAGAAAGCGTGGCCCGCCTTTGGGAAGTCCCGAATGGAAGGCTTGGAAAAGGAAGGAAGCAATTTAGAGAGAAAAAGGAAGGCGTCGGGGTCAACGCGGTAACGGTGAGTACGGAGTACCTGAGGTGGAGTCAATTGACGGGCTGCAATGACGGCCGCAGCGGCGCGCAAAACGAGGCGGCGGCAGGCGCAGCCAGACACCTTCTTTCCGTGAATCCGTACACTTGCCAGATGGGATTTTGCCGAGAGCCATTGGATTCCTCGTTGCTCTTGCATTCCTGCATTTTGCATCCATTGTGTTCCCTTTCATTTTCTGTCTGTCATTGGGCATGAGGTGTACGGATATCGTACAGTTTAACCTCCCCTCCTTATCCCGTCTTCTCCATCCCGTCCATCTTACCTTGGTATCTGCACATTGGCTGTACAATCCCGCTTGCACATCGACTCTCAAACCGCGGCTGGAGGGACCCTCCTTTGACTGACAGAGCAAACAACAGGAGTCATGCCTGCTAATCGCCTCTTTTGAACCAACAACGCACACACACCAGCAAAGCAGACATCCTGCAGCCCATCTGCCACCATCCTCGTCGCGTTCTCATGCTGTACCTTACGGCAATACAGGCTGCTTCTGCCGCCGCTCTCGCTTCGCTTCTGGAAAACCACATGCGCCACTGACCATCCTGCGTCCTTTGCCTACGTTCCCCCGACCCCCGATCCCCCGAGTCGGTGGTGAACCCCCGTCCACCTGCTTGATTTCTCCATTTTACCCCGTTTTTTTCACTCTGCCACCCCCCGTCCACCCATCCCAGCAACCTGGTGTGTTCCATCGCAGACCCTCTTTCCCAGTCCACGTCTCCAGTTGCTAGCCTCCTTCTCCAGTTCTCGCCTCATCTCTCTCCTCGTCACTTTCTCCTACTCCTCCTCCTTTCGTCTTACGCCAACCTTTTCCTACAGCCTTGTCCTCTGCGGCTGGACATTGTCGACCAAACCCTCTGCCTACCGTCTGCAGCATTTTGGAGAGATAATGTTGGATTCCTGTACCCTTACTGGCCCGGTCTACACAGCGTTATGAGCTTGCGTTTCTTCCACCTCCAGAAAGCATAGGCAAGTTTGGCTTTCGTCCTGCGCATTGTGGTCCTCGGGAAGACGGGTGTAACGCACCACGACCACTACCACGGGACTTTTCACAATGCTTTGGAGAAACCTCTGCTGACCATTGTCCTTCGTCTAGGAGCCGCATATTCCCGATTGTCGCGCTCGTTCGCGCATAACCCCGACTTCGTCCCCCCTCGACTGTCCCGAGCCTCCCGATTTCCAAATATGCCCGACAAAAACGTCACGACGATTTCCTATGCCGCCGGCGCATCCCTAGCCGCCATTGCACTTGTCTACGTATTTGCGCCTACATTCACAATCGACGAGTCCAGCACCTCTTCGTCACGTAGGAAAGGTGTCGTTGGCTTGCGCAATGCGGCCAACGATTGCTTCATCAACTCCACCCTGCAAGCTCTCGCGGGTCTCGGCGAGCTGCGCATGTACCTAATCCGCGAAACTCACCGCCGAAATATTGACGATGAGGGCGTATACTCCCAATTGGTTCAGCCGCCCGGCAAGAGCTACCCGGAATGGAAGATCGAGGGCATGCAACGCGGATTGGTCACACAAGGGTTGAAGGACATGCTTGATTCGCTCAACGAACGGCCCATCTACAAGAAGTCGATCTCTGCCATTGAATTTGTGAGAGTACTCGAGACAGCGTTTCGGCAGCGCATTAGTCGGCAGCAGCAGGACGCCCAGGAATTTCTCCAAATAGTGGCAGAGAGACTCAAGGAAGAGTACCACGCCGGCGAGAGGGCACGTACCCACGCAAGACTGGAAGCCTCACGAGCCACCTCGGTAGGTGCTTCCGTAAATGGCGACGCAGTGCAGGAAAAGCTGGAAAACCTCAACATGGCCAACGGTAGCAGCGAAGAGTCCTCCTCGGCATTACCTACGCCGACGATCCCCAAAATCCAGACCAATGGCATACACGCGCCCTTGGACGAAGACGAAGGCTTCCCCATGGAAGGGAAATATGAATCCCAATCCGAATGCCAGACCTGCGGTCACAAGACGAAGCCAAGAGAGGAGTCCTTCTACATGCTGACTTTGAACGTGCCCCAAGTCAGCTCCACCACTCTTAGTTCGTGCTTTGACGAAATCTTCAAGACGGAGATGATTGAAGACTTCAAGTGCGAGAGATGCCGACTGATCCATGCCGAAGAATCCCTCAAGAACGACCTGGCAAACGCAAAGAACGAAACTGAGAGGACCGCACTCGAGGAGGCAGTGCGCAAGTTGCGCCATGCAATTGACTTTGATCCCGAACATGTTCCTGAGGATGTACTCCTCCCGAACATAGCCGATGCGCCCAAGCGTAAAATTGCACGGTCGACGCGCCTCACGTCCTTCCCGCGCATCCTTGCCGTTCACCTTTCGCGGTCCATCTATGATCAAACGTCAACCAAAAACTCGGCCAAAGTTGCCTTCCCCGAGCGGTTGCCTCTTGGCGGCTTGTGCGATCGTCGCAACTACAAGTTATTAGGTCTCGTCACCCACAAGGGAAGCCATCACAGTGGTCACTACGAATCATTCCGACGCCAGAATACGTATGCGCCTTATTCCAATCAGAATACCTTCCAGCCGTCAGGCATCTACAGCAAGACAGCGAGCCCCGCGGCTACGCCCCAGCCGTCGACACCCCAACTCGACGCAATTGCTCGGGGACACAGCCCCGCCGTATCGACACCCGACCTTCTGACGCCGAGCTCCGAGACGGCTTCCTCTACCCGATCACTATCGTCATCCGACGCTTCGCCGAAGGACCGAGTTAGGAAGAGAATTAGTCCGACGTCTGCCCCTCGCGACAGGCAGAGAGAGCCCGACTCAGCTAGCATCCGATCCGTACGATCACTCACTGCATCGGCAAAGAGCACGGTTTCGAAGATCTCGCAAAAGGTCAATGGAAACGGCACACCCGGAAGCAGTCCACCGCGCCCCACGCCGATGGCCGTAGTACCTCGTCCTCCTGTCCATAAGTCCCGCAAGAAGCAGCCCGCCGATCGCTGGTGGCGCATCAGTGACGAGAAGGTTCGGGAAGCCAAGACGGCCGAGGTTCTCGATCTCCGTCGTGAGGTCTACTTGCTGTTCTACGAGCTCGAGAGGAATGACAGCCCGTAGAGCGAGGCTGGCAACGTTCCCTCGAAGCCTGGAACGTTGCCGCCTGAGTTCGAGCCGTTCCGGGCCTATACGGCAACCGCCTCGATGAAGCTCACAATGTTGCGGTGAGCTTGGCTCGTATACATTCTTGAGATTAAACGTTTCGAACATAACGCACATATGCTCTTATGCGTACACACAACAACAATCACTTCAAAAAAGAAAGAAAAAGTGCATCGGCTGGCGTAATAGTCTTATTGTTTATGCATCTGCATGGTGGGCGATCTCGCGAGGAACCCCGATCAGCATTTTTGGTGGGTTAGAAGCAATCTTTGCAAGAATTGGCTGTTTTTCTTGTCAGAGGAGGAGGTAGAAACCAAAAATATGGAGGTACATACATAGTACACGGGGCAAAGATGGTGGACTTTGTGGAGACGAGGTTGGATAAAGCTGAATACAGCGCTGCAAATTATCGTCAGAATTACATATCATTCTATGCCGCTACCGCACCTATGCCTGCCTACCTGTTTACTGTCTTGACTTGCTTTGAATTCTTTGGCAATGCTTCTCCTCAGAGACCTTGTGCTGTATGGGCCTCCCATGTCAAAGAGTTGGCATCTATATTAACTATCCGTACCTTCCGAGTGATTGTCGCAAACCTGACTGTCATATGTCACATTGCGAAAGATGATCCTTAGAGATGGAAGTGGGAACGACGTCAATCCGGGGTCGGCTTTTATCCTGACCTGGCCGGGTACCAATTTGTTCAACGATCTGCGCTACCGGGACGAGCGTAGCATATGGAGAAGGGGGAAATTACATAAATTGTCCTCATCTGTGGAGGGAAAAGCATGCTAGATACGCAGCAAAGATAACGTCACTCCATTCGATTAATTGTACTCTACGCAGTGTATTTCGACACCGCCGCTAACTCTAGCAAAGGCGCATTTCATCGAGACTGTCCTCCCATTTCCTTCCCGGGCCAAACCATGCAACCCAGTTAACCCAGGCCCGCAAGACCCCGTTTCTCGAATGCCCGTCCTCATTATTGTTTTCCTCTCTTCTCGTCGTGCTTCGTAGCTCATGATGACTTTTGCTGTCCCAGAATCTCCCCCGCGATCTTGGCCTGGTCCGCCTCGTTCAGCGGCGCCTGGCTGCGCACCTTATCTGCCTTCTCGGCATCATATCGCCACAGACCGCCCGTCTTGTCCGCGTCGCCCGTAGCAGGCAGACCAACGGCGGCACCGAGGGACTCGAGCACGGCATCGCCGGCACCCGCGCGATCGGTAAAGTACCTGCGGTCCCACGAGCGGCCCTCCGTCTTCTCCTTTGCGCGGAGATCGCGCTGTGCCTTTTCAATGGCGCTCTTTTCGCGGCTAACGAGGTCCATGTCGCCCTTTGCAATGCCGTCGGCGACGCCCTTCCAGGCGCGGCGGGACTCGAGGGGGTGCTGCTTGTCAAGGGGCGCGACAACGAGCTTGGAGATGGGGTGCTGAGCCGCATCGTAGGTGTCGATGAGGGTCTTTGAGGAGTTGTGCTTCGCGGAGCCCTCGTGGATTTCAAAAGACTTTGTCCAAACGCCCGTAATATTGTAGGTCACATCCTTCTCCTTGCCTGTCGGGTAGACGGAGGCGATGACGCTGTTCTTTTTGCCCGAGAGCCAGCCCTTGCCTGAGTAGTCGATCTTGGAGGTGTAGCCTGTGGAGGACGTGATGAAGGAGGTGCCCTCGAGCTCGATGAAGGGGGCGCCGAAGATGAGGCCTTCGATGTGGAGGGCGGGAAGGGTGATGAGGTAGGTCTCTTTCTTGCCGTCTGGGGTTGGGACGGTCAGGACTGCGTGGCCAATCTGCTTGATGTTGATTGTGCTTTTGAAAGTTGCCTTTTGTGCGTTATAGCCCTCGAGGTGGACGCCTGTTGGGAGGTTGGTGATGGAGTAGGCTGTCGCGGGCGGGTGGTGGCTGTCCAGAGAACGACAATCAGCACGCTGGGCCTCCCTTGGGGTCTGTAATTCTGGTAAAGGGGGGCATGGTAGCTCTCTTACCTAACCTGCTCACTGATGAGCTCCGTCGTCCCAGCGTCATCCTCCCACCTCCCGAGGAACAGCTCGCCAAGGAAGGGGTTGAGAGGCTTCTTCTCGTTACCGTACTGCTCGCTGCGAGAGGCGTACTGCTGCTTGAGGGTGCTAATGAACCACTTTGTGACGAGCAGGGCGCGTTTGGCCGGGTCTGCCTCCTTTGCGGGGGCGGCGAAGATGGAGGGGTGCTCGCACCAGTAGGAGGAGAATTCGGTCAGGGAGGTGCTGGAGAGGATGAAGGGCGGGGCCGTCAGAGAAGAGAGATCGCCGTTGAAAGAGGCGATGGACTGTGAGAGGGCGACGAAAGGCCGTTGTCAGTTGCGACGTTCCTCGAGTCAAGGGATGGGGGGAGGGCGGGAGGTCGAGGGGAGGAAGACAGGCAGAGGAAGGAAGACGAGGCAGAGTAAGGGCATACCTTGAGAAAAGCTCCCCAGCTGCCCTGGTTAGCCTGGGCTTGAGCTGATGTTGGGGTCTGGGCCGCCATTGTCGCTTCGGGGGGGGTTGAGTTCTGTTAGGTGGTAGGCGTTATGGTAGCTCGAGGTGGCTTCCGTCAGAACTGTGAATGGCTTCGAGAATACAAGAGACGAAAGGATAGGAGCTTAGAGGGTGCGTTGGTGTGTGGATGTATGTTGTGTCTAAGTTTCTCCCAAAAGATACGGCATGCAGGCGGGGTCTCGAGAAAAAGGGCCCGCGTGTGCTGAGCTGTCTTGGACCTGTCTTTATGGGAAAGTGGGATGTCGTAGTGCCGCAGTGGCTGGCGCCGCTCAGTGACCGCAACCCGCTGAGTTCCAGGTACGGGACCTGCTGCTGTTTAGAAAGCTTTTGGCGGGGCTCCCCAACCAGCCTAACAGGGGGTCGGAGCTGCGATTTGCGGTTCTGGGTGTCTGGGTTGGTCCAACGTAGGGCCAAATGGGAGGAATGTTTCCACTACCGATGAACGGCAGGGAACTTTGAAAAAAGAGTTGGGAAATGAAGCTGATCCGCTCAGTTGGTTGACTAGGCGATGGAGACACAGCTCAAGGAAGCTGAAAGTGGTCCGTTTCGTGGGGTGCTTCTTATTCGATTCTTTGGTTCGCTTTGAACGGTATTCAGTAGGGCCGGTTGCCAAGAATATGGGAAGGAGTCGTGCAAATTAAGAGTTAACCGTTGGAAATGAACAGACCTCAGGGAGCTTTGTCTGTATAATTCCGTGTCCGAGGGGCAATGTAATGGCAATGACGGGCTGGTGGGTGGTGTGGGAAGAAGCTCATTGAGTTGACGTCAACTGTCTTGTCGACCACCACTACGGAGTACAAAACCAGTTGGCATTTAATTAGACCAACTTGCAGCAATGCGCCGTACTAATTCGAAGAGGCGAAAATGATGGGATGGAGCGTGGCTTAGCTCGCGTCAGTGTGTGTGTGTCTGGTGTCGTGCGCGCACACATTGAGACGAGAGACGTCATCGTGGTTGACGCCCCTCGCACTAAACCTCAAGGGACCTTTTCACACTGGACAGTGACACACACACACCAGGCCTCTTTCCCCGTCCGAAAGACCGCCGCTGCAGCAGCACGCACCAAGCTGTCCCTGCCTGCACGATGACAGCCGCCCCGATTCGTTTCGTGGGGCAGCTGCGCGCCAGTTGCCCGGGCGGACCCAGCCACACACGTGCTCATCCGAA